TAAATATTCATAAATTTTCTAAATTAAATAGATATATATTTATCTTATAATAAATTATTATTATTCTATGTTCATAATTTCGAATTTTATTTCAATATAGATTATTAAAGAATATATTTTTTATTTGAAAAAATAAGAATAATAATTTTATCTATCCCATCTAATAAAAAAATGAAAATAAAAATATTTTATCAAATTTCTCGATGAATATACTAGAATTCATAATTTTCCAATCTAATTAGAAATTCAGAATCATATCTATTTTAATCAATATTTAATAGAAATTAAATTAGATATGAATATAAGTATATTATCATTAGTATTCAATTAAATGATATATATAAAAATTATTGAATATTATCTATTTCTCAGTAATATCTTATATTGTATATCATCAAAATCTTTCGTGAGATAAAAGAAGGATGTATTTCTAATTCAAGCCACCCAATCGTACGGGGCGTATGGGGCAGGCCCGGATTCCAGGCAACAAGTCTACATGAACTATCATTAACATTCATGTTCTTGAGTTCTCACTCGCAAACCTACTGTCGATGATATAAACCCTGTATTACCTGAAGGACCCTAAACTGTGTGAAATATGGTATATTCCTTACTATGGGTAATGCAGGATTTATATCATCAACCGTAGGAATTTGTTTCAATTTTTTTCGTCGATTAGCTTCTGGCCCTGGCTGATGAACAAGGAAGCGAAGCGAGGTCTGAGGTGATTGCTTCGCAATCACCGAATCCAGAGACTCCAACATTCTACAGAAGTTTAACATACCCCAAGTAGCTGAAACAAATGTAAAATGCCAATTCCCAAACTATGGCACAAAGTCAACTCAGACCAAGAAAGCATCGATGATATAAGCCTAAACCCTAAAACTTAAAGCTCTAAGCCCTAAACCCTAAAACTCTAAAACCCTACACCCTAAACTCTAAAGCCCTAAACAGCTCTGCGGCATGCTGAAGTAAGAGGTGGAGTCTCTGGGAGCATCGAAAATGGAGTCACTGAGACTCCGCTCTGCAAACAACAGCTCTTTCTTTAACAAACTAGCCTAAACCCCTATAACTTAACGGTTTAGGTTTTTTTGTTTAGGGTTTAGGGTTTAGGGTTTGAGCCCCTTAGACACCAAACCACTAAATCCTGACTGCTAACCATCCGCAAGTCGAACGATCCTCGGTCCGGGCTTCGACTGCCTGAGCCACAGAGCCGCCCCTGGAGTTTCGGGGCTACTGGGGTTTTAGGCTTGGCTTTAGCTTAGGGTCTAGGGAGTTTTTTCTCACCCTCCCTAGGGTTTAGGGTTTTTGTTGCCTCCTACTTAGCAAGGACGAGCCCGCATTTGAGGGAAATGTCTTCAACTTGGGATGCGCAGGGGCAGGCCTCAGTTTAAGGTTTGCCAATTACCCAGAAGCATCTTTCACAGAAGGGTTTAGGGTTTAGGGCTTTAGGGTTGGCTTTAGCTTAGACTGTAAGATTTTTTTCCCTCCGACAATGGAGGGTTCTAGGCCCACAAGCGAGGTTGCTTAGGAGTGCCTTGGGTTTTTGGATTCCGGGCTTCTGTTGCTTCCCACCTAGCTAGGACGAGCCGACATGGGACTTTATGCCTCCTACTTACATGGGACTCAGGGTTTAGGGTTTGGGCGGCCTGTGGCACGAAGCACAAACTCGCACACATCTGATGGATTCCGCAGTCGAAGCTGGAATCACTCCGTCTCCGCAAACTTCTGGAACTTGCCTTGAGGCTGTTGGGGATACGGTGGATATGCCGGATATGCATAGTCGGCCTGAGGATTTCCATATGCAGCGATGGGAGCAATCCCGGGTGGAATCTGCTGAGGCATTGACATATCCTTACTTCCGCGCAAGCCAGAGAAACAAAAGCTTAAACGTTCAGATCACCACTAAAGTTACTAAACTATGAGAACCCACAAAGAATGAAGGTTGGGCATTGGAAAACTAAGTATCCATGTTGCCAGCACCTTGAGCTTCCCCATATAAGTAAGCCCGGGCTTCCTCACGACCCCTCTCTTCTCCTTCCTTCCTAGCAGCCACCCGGGCCTTGTAGGCCCTCACCTGACCCCAGAACCAGACGCCCCAGTGGTCCGGGTAGCGACACATCAGAAAGACGTAAAGTGAACAAAAGATGACCAGCAGTGAGGATGTAGAAATTGCCGTTACTGGCTGCCAGTGGCAGGACCACCAGTCGGCACCGGGCTCGTCCTCACCACGCAAATGGCGAAGGTTGGCTTCGTTCATTCTCGCGGCAACATGGACAACGTTGCTCTTCTCCCCCACCTCGGGATAATCTACGAACATGGCCTGGATCCCGTGACCATTTTCAATAAGCTTCTGGTGGGCTACTTCGAGGGGCGACCGGTATCCTAGACAGCCGCAAGCATACTCTGGGCATGTCTCCTCTGACTGATATTCATGCGGGGTTGTGTCCTGAGCTGTTCTTGGAGGCCCATTCAATCTTATGAGTTTTTGTTCCTTCTTAAGAACAGACTTTGCCGAAATGACAAGCTGTTGTCTGGAACGGCCTAGCGTCGTCCTGCAGCAGCTCCGCATTGAGTCGGGTAGACATAGTCTTGACGCTGTCGAGTGCTAAGTCATCCTTGAGTTTGTCCAGTGCAATTGCCTTGCACATTGGGTTGGTACATGCGTCCCACTCTGCGAAGCTGGGGAACGCGGCAGATCCCAAGACCTGGAAAAGAAATCCATGGTTGCGACCAGGGAATCCCCACTTCTCTCCGTTCGCATAGGCCATAAAGTCTGTCTGGAGTCTCTCAGACGTCGCTCCGGGCTGAATCTTTTCATCATAGGTGCTGTAGAAGATTCCCCTCCAGTTCACCGGCCAGACCACCACCCGTAGGTTGAGATCCACCAGTGCACCCATCGTGACGTTGTCGTTGGGGACGTCTCTGATCAAAGCACATGACACCTGTACGATCGGTCATAATCGGAAACTGACTTTGGGACAGATACTGGGTCATTCGGGGTCCAGTGCATTCTCTATCAGACGAACATGACACAGAGCAATCCAAGACCTTCCTAGGGTCCGAGGCACCGCGGAACGTGCAGACATGGACGATACATCTGTCGTCCCATCGATCTCCACGCAGGGCGAGCCTGTGCCAAGCCCGCCAAACTTGGTCTTCATGAGCTCTTCCCAGCGAGTCCCTGCGCCCCCTGGAATGTTGTCAGGTGAGAGAACGATCAGCTCACGCGGGTGTAGGTTTATCCACTCAGTGACAGAGTCCAGGTCATCTTCGAACTTCCCTCGGACAGCTGCTTGGCCCGTTGGTCCATGGCAGTTCACGAAAGGACCAGCACCTGGTGTGTCTGGAGGGTCGCAAAGATCCACCATGAAGGCGCGAATGCCGAACATTAGCTGCTGCCTGAGGTCCAGGTCATGATTCTCATAGTAGCCTTTCAAAATGTTGTTGACATCCACTAAAGGTATGTCCTCCTTGATGAGATCTGGAAGATCCAAGTCGTACGCATTGGAATTGTGGGTGCCAGCGAAGGTGTACTTGGTGAAAGGAAGGTTGCAGAAGTCACCGTTGCCGTTGCAGCCCAGTGCTGGGTGAAGGAGCGACACCGACAGCAGGCTCACCGAGCACCACATGCCGTCGCGCCGACGGAAAGTCAGGCACTCTAAAGGTTCAACCCTACTTCATGAAGCCGAAGCTTGAGACAAAGGGCCCGTCCCGAATTCGGATATTGCAATGCTCGAATCAGAACGCAAGAGTCCGCAACAGATGTGAACCACGCAACAAGCGTCGATTGCAGGTATGACTGTTACTCTTGTTTACAGAAAATGCTGTCCACTCTGTCAACCCATCTCATTCTACCGCTGTATGCATAGATAGAGGCGCCACTCGCAAGCCCCATGCTCCAACATTCAAATTGACCACGCTTGCGACTTGCCTGCTGGAGTTGCACGTTGCTCGAGGCCGAGAGAGAACATGCGCCGCAGGGACAAAAGGAAAAAGACTGTGTATCGTTCAGGGTTCCTTTTTCGAGTTCCCTTACGTCTGTTTTTGATGGCACTATAGGATCCGAACGGCCCGTCCAGACGCAGGGGGTTCAAAGGAGCCCAGCACCTCTCAAATTCCATGGTTTACGGATTCCAGGATGGGGGTGCAAGTGCAGAGGTCTAGTCAAGTGAGGCAGCAGTTTGCGAGTTTCGACAGAGGGCGCTCATGCTACTCCTGAAGTCCAGTGCTACACTACGATGTCCAGAAGGCCCCGCCCCCCCTCTCGCCGACTCCTCCTTTTTACTCAAAAAACGGCCTTCAGGGGACGGGCTCGCTCCAACTCGGAAGGTCAAAACCGGCTGCATAAGAAAGGAAGAGAGGCCTTCATAAAACAAAAAAGGACAAGCTGTCGTCTAGAGGCAGATAGCGAGATCGCGACACAATGCGGCAGTCAGGACTACCCCGACGGTAGAAAATAGCTGTTTATAGGCTATAGGCTAGCGGCACAAACATTTCTGCAGGTATGCGCGCGGAAAGCGGTGGCTCTAAACGCCGCCATCAGCAAAGCGCTGAAGGCTTCAAAGAGCAATGACATCGGGTCGGAACGGAAATTCAAGATGACGCCAGAAGCAAGAAGCGTTCTCGGGTCCTACAGGAACGCGAGACACATGAGCTCATGCAAGACAACCAGTGCTCATCCGCCAGACACGCCTCCCTTTTCAGTCGCTTCATGCATCTCAAACAGGATGGCTGCAAGGAAAGACCCATCGATCGTCATAGGACAGCTTTGGGATCATGCGTTGCATGACGTCGCGACAACATCCTGAAGAGGATTGAAAAGAATGCACGTCCCTGCAGCGGCATCCGACGAGGATGACGTGGGAGTCTTGGACTCCTGCGATCCTCAAGCATCGACCCTAAACAGTCTACTTTCGGGCTGGTGCAGAGCTGTCTGCATGTAGCTGCTAGTCTGCGCTTGGTTAGGGGCATCTTCTTCTCCTGCTAGTGATTGGAACTTTCCTCGTCTGCTTCTCACAAGTCAGCAGTTCTTCTGTGAGCCCTGCTGTTGTGGCTGCTGCAAGCTTCTGCTGCTCTTGAAGTGGTAGCAGTAGTAGTCGTTGTCGTCAACGTAGTAGTAGCATTTGTAGGAGCAGAAGCGAAGCAGTTGTAAGTAGTAGTAGCAGCTGCAGCAATAGCAGCAGCAGCACTAGGAGTAGGAGCAGGAGCAGGAGCAGGAGGAGGAGGAGTAGTAGTAGTAGTAGTAGTAGCAGTAGCAGTAGCAGTAGCAGTAGTAGTAGTAGTAGTAGTAGTAGTAGTAGTAGTAGTAGCAGTGCTAGTAGAAGTCGTCGTCGTGGCGGTGGTGCGTGGGAGCATCAGCAGCAGCGGCGACAGGAGGAAGAGGAGGAGGAGGAGGAGTAGGAGTAGGAGTAGGCGTAGGAGGAGTAATAGTAGTGGTGGTGGTGGTGGTGGTAGTAGTGGTAGCAGTAAGTAACTAAGTAGTCGTCGTCGTAGCAGCAGTAGCGGTACTAGTAGTAGAAGCAGCAGCAGCCGTTAATCATCGTCGTCTTCGTCGCCCGCGCCATCTTCACGTTCGTAGTAGTGGTGTGACACCAGTGCCCGTAGTCGCAGTGGTAGTAGTCTTAGTGGTAGTGGGGCCGTGGTAAGAGTTACATCGCGGAGGAGGTCGTAGCAGCAGCAGCAGCAGCAGCAGCAGCAGCAGCAGCAGCAGCAGCAGCAGCAGCATCAACTCTACAAGCTGACCTTTTCTCGCAGCATAAGCTTGCAAGCCGGCTCTGTACCCGTAAAGTAGACCTTGCACCTTCATCAATCATGGTCCCGGCCGGCGACCTGTCCATCAAGACTCTTTGTGCACACAGCCGGGGGTGGTCTGCTTTGGGGCTGTCGACGTCTATGAATTGTTTCATTGGACACCTCAACCTCATCCCTGTGAGTGTTCCTAGGCCACACCTTCTCGAAAACTTTCGGTGCAGAGTGTAGATACGTTAGCTGCCACACTAGTCGGCTTGACCTGGGCTGAAATCCATGACATCACATCAATAGGTTTTAAATATAACTCAACCCGTAGGTGTCTAGCAAGTGTCTAGGAGTTTAGTATGCGCACTGAATTCAAGAAGTCCTTGCAAAAGACTCTAGCCTTCGTTGTTTAAACATCAACAATCCAACGGTTCATCGCATCTGCCCCCAATCCGAGGTGCCTATCGCGACTGCCATTGCTGACCGCTGCTGCTCTTGGCACCATGCTGCTCCACCCCCTGCAAACGACGCACTGATACACAAAGTGTTGACACGCAGGCACCAGTACACACAGGCACTATGCCCACACCAGGCTAGCATTGCCATGATCCTGAAAGTAGGGCTCAATATCAGGCGAGAGATGTGCTAACCTTATCTCAGCAGTAAAGTCTCAGGAACCGAGATGTGCATGATGCAGCTTCAACTCCCCCGGGAGCTGCTAACCACATGGTCTGATGCTGCAGATTCTCCAGGGAAGCCAATGGAAACAAGAGTTAAAAAGAATTGTCCGTCAGGGGCAGGGTCCGAACCGGGGTAGAGTGAACTCTTGCAGGTATATGCTTGGTTTGGCAACGCAGTTAAATCTAGATGGAATTGTTTGTCTGCCTCAAGTCTCCGAAAACAATTAACTCCAGCTGTAATTCCTTTCACGGTGCTCTGGAGAATAGCAAGCCATCGTTACTTCGCTTCGGTTCCAAATCTCGGGTCTTGAACAACAATTAACCGTAACTCCTGATCTGATTTTTGCCGTGCTCCGGAAAAGAACAAGCTACCGCTACCTCGCTTCGTCAAGTAGCAAGCTATCCATACTTCGTTCCGGTTCCACACCTCCGGCTGTCAAGAAGAATTAACTCCAGATGTAATTGTTTCTCGGTGATCCGGAAAAGATCAAGCCATCGGTACCTCGCTTTGCGGACTTCGTTTCGGTTCCAAATCTCGGGTCCTCAAAAACAGTTAACTCTTATCTAATTTTTCCGTGCTCCGGCAAGAGTAAGCCGCCGCTACCTCGCTTCGTAAGTAGCAAGCTATCGGGCTACCTGTAACATCCCCCCAGGTCCAGGAGGTTTCAATGATGATGAAGACCCCTCTGGTACTTGTGCTGGCCATGCTGACGACGACCATCAACCAGTTTTTGCATCAGGACCTGTGCAATCGCCTGAAGGTCTGAGCATACGGAGGTTCAGCCCTCATGACTGCGCTCTCCATACCTTGCTCAAAAAACTAGACCATCAACCCGAAAGTGTAAACCGTATTTTGTAGGGGCCTTAAAAATTAGAAAAGGGCTTTGGGGCCCACTATGCTATAATTGTAGTAAGGAACCCCCAAACTTGCATAGGTAATTGTTAAGACCCCTATTACCCTAGACACACTCACAAACCACCACCTGGAAATCCAGATTCCCGCAAGACCTCCGAATGATGACAAGCAGCGGCCCAAATCAGACCTACCAATTCAACTCCCTGAGCCCGAAACCTTAAAGCCCAAGCCCTAAACCCGAAACCTTAAAGCCTAAACCCTACACCTTGAAGCCTAAAGCCTAAAGCCTAAACCTAAAGCTAAACCCGAAACCTTAAAGCCTGACCCTAAACCTTAAGGCCTAAACCCTAAACCCTACCCCTCAAGGCCTAAAGACTAAACCCGAAACCTTAAGAGCCTAAGCCCGAAAGCTTGAAGCTTAAACTTTAAACCCTGAATCCGAAACTTTAAAGCCAAACCCAAAACCTTCAAGCCTAAACCCAAACCCGAAACCTTAAAAGCCCAGACCCTAAACCCGTAAACCCGAAACCTTAAAGCCTAAACCCAAAACCTTCAAGCCTAAACCCTAAACTAAGCCCGAAACCTTAAAGCCCAAACCCTAAACCCGAAACCGTAAAGCCTAAGCACCTTTCGATTTTCTCAGCGTTGGACCCAACATCTTCCAAAGCTTCCCGTCAAGAGGCCGTGCACTGAAAACAATGCTTAAAGGAAAGTACAAGTGGGGAGTTTAGGGTCTATAACCCTAAACCCTAAATATATATATATATATATACATATATAGGGCTTCTATAAGGCTTCCAGAAGGTACATAGACCTTCCAACAGGCTCCGATAACGGTAACTACCCACCTGAAGATGTCCTAGATCAAGAGGCCGTGCACTGAAAACAATGGGTTCCCTGCACTAAGGGAACCACTCTGATGATTCAAAGATTCCACTCCCCAAGCCGGAAGTGGTCGGAAACATCCCTAAACCCTGAACCCTGAACCCAAAACCCTAAAACCCTAAACCCTAAACATCCCTAAACCCTAAACCCTGAACCCTAAAACCCTAAACCCTAAACATCCCTAAACTGAACCCCGAAGGACTCTCACCCCGGAAGCTCGGAGGTCCGAGGACGAGGAAGGTCTAAACTCCTAGGAAGCCTCAAAACTTCATCACCGGGTTTGGGATATGGGGGTTTCTGAAAATAGGGGACCCTAATCTAGCACCCTAAATAGTAGGATCCCTATTATGAGGACCCCCAAAATAAGGTACCCCTTATTTTCGGAAACTCCCATATGTCATGACTTTAAAGGAAACTGCAGGTGGGGAGTTAGGGTAGATAGGGCTTCTATAAGGCTTCCATAAGGTATATAGACCTTCTATAAGGCTACTATAACGGTAGCTACCCACCTGAAAATGTCCTAGATGACGGCATTTTTTCAGGAGCCCGGGGGGGTAAGATGGCCTACAAAGCTCTGAAGGCAAGTCACGTTCTCGATTTCGATAAGCGACTGATAGCTCAAACGCGACCCGAAACCATAAACTCTAGATTCAGCCAGCCTCCCTAAACCCTAAACCCTAAACCCTAACAAGCAACAGCGGCCTTGAGAGGGTCTAGGTCGCGTTGCCCCTCGCAGGGGCGGCCTGTCGCAGAGACGCTTTTGGGGGTGTAAAGTTTCGCCACTTTTCGCATCAGGGCTTGGAAAGTCCCAAAACACTGAACTGTGGGCGATGTTCGAAGTCTCGCACTAGTCGTGTTCTCGCTAGAACTGCTGGGACGGCCATGACACAAGTTTGAGACCAGGCTTGCAACGCAGGCACTCCTGGGACGAGAGAAAAGCTAACAGCTAGCAAAGCAGGGTCCTGTAGCAATGTAGGATCATGCGACTAAGCTCCCTACCTACCTACCTACCTACCTACCTACCTACCTACCTACCTACCCCTACCTACCTACCCACCTACCTACCTACCCACCTACCCACCTACCCACCCACCTACCTACCTACCTACCTACCTGCCTACCTACCTACCTACCTGCCTACCTACCTACCTACCTTCCTTCCTGCCTACCTACCTACCTACCTACCTACCTACCTACCTACTTACTACCTACCTACCTACCTACCTCCCTACCTACCTCCTACCTACCTACCTACCTACCTACCTACCGACCGACCGACCGACCGACCCACCGACCGACCGACCGACCGACGGACCGACCTACCGACCTACCGACCTACCGACCTGACGACCTACCGACCTACCGACCTACCGACCTACCGACCTACCGATACCTAAACCAGCCAGTCG